ATATGTTAGTTTATTAATGTATCGGCCTTCTCTCAGGAATGCCGCGAAGAAGGGCTCCAAGCACCTGAGGGCGCGTGATCTTTGGGAGCCAAAGACTGGCTTCTCGTTGACTTTGTAGGCTTTCTAAAGGGTTTATGTAGGGTTTGTTAAAGGGGGCGTCGGTGCAGGACAGGGGCCCCGAAGCCAAGCAGATGTTTGTGGGTCCCCTCGTCGCCTGCTGAAACGAAGATCTCGGGAACAACGGCTACAACTACAGCAACCCTGATGGCACAGCAATCCTAAGCCTTATATGTGGCCTATACCCTGACAGCCCCGAATCTGAGCACCACAGTTGTTGCTTAACCCCCCTGCGATGGAAAGATCCTTCGGGCCTTCCGGGTGTTGGAGCCTGTGGATGACTTGAAGCCTTGATAAGCCTCTGCTTGGGTGTTTTTAGGAGCTTGGGGTTTTGTGGCTTAGGGACTGCGGTCTTCGATCTACTCGTAACAGTTTTGGGGAATTTGAAGGCTTAAAGTTTATACAGTTTAGACGGTTTAAGGTTGGGGCCAACTTGTGCCCCAGAAAATCAAGAAGGGCCTCCGTCTCTTGTCTCCTCCCGGCGAGTCGCCCCCTGAACCTCCTCACATCCCCGTCCTCCTTAACCCTGAACCCTAAACCCCAAACCCCTAAACCCTGAACCCTAAACCCTAAAGCCCTAAACCTCTAACCCCACCGTGGCCCACCGGGGCGAATGCGTGGGAGCCGGGGGCTGCGTTCGAAGTCCCACGTCACATGCTCAGTGAGAATTGAAGGTCTAGGTCGTGAGATTTCCGAAGCCCCACTTGTAGCCTTACATACATTGGGTGGTTGTCACAAGTAGGATCCCTTTTTGGGTCCCGATTCTAGTACGGCACCTAATATTTAGGGTACCCAAAAAGGGATCCTAATTTTGCTTAATACGTCACAACCACCCATGCATGACACACTGTGGGGCCGGAGATTCCCCGGCCGTTGCGCCTTCAAACCTGGAGCCCCAAAACCTGTCCAAAAACCTTCCATGGTTCGTAGTAAGTATATGATAAAAGTATTAGTAGTAGTAATAATCATATTATATTATAGAATTGTTTTTCATGATCGTGATACAACTAATAACCATTTGAGGCCCCCGCCTGCTGAATTATGATCGCCGCTCAAAAAGCGGGAAGGAGGCAGCTGGAGAGAGAGTTGAAGGCAAAAGTCTTCGAAAGCCGAAAACTGCCCACGGTGCGTGGCTTCAGGGCTTGGGAGCTTCAAGGCTTGCGGAAGTTTATGGGTATGGGTTTCGAAGCGTTTAGAGGTTCAGGCTGATCCACCCTTGTGTAAGGGGCGTCGGATGCAGGCCTAAGAGAAGAGCTGTGCAAGAAGGTTTAGTGGCCCTAGTAACGGAGCACTCTCGGACCAGGTTCGGAAATTCGGGGCTGCATTACGCAGCTTAGGGCCTAAGGGCTTCAGTTTCAATGCCGGGTCTTCAGCAGGATTTCTGAAAGATCCCAATCTCCGGAACCAATACTTTGGGGCAAAGCCGAGGTCCAAGGGCGATGGGTTGTCACGACGAGCCTCCATCAGGCTGGAACTATGTTTGGGCTCGACCGTGTTCTGCTATAGGGGTTTGGTAGTCAAGCTTTATATCCGGTTTCAGGCCTTCAGGACTGTTTTGCTCTGCTGCGACAGCTAGTACCTCACATGGCTTAGTAGCAAGATCTCCGCTGCGGCAAAAATGTGGCACTAAGCCACAAAGTTGAGAGTTCTTAATGCAGGGTGGAGCATAGCCCGAAAATGTCTCAGACTAAATGCTAAAGGATATGGTCGAATACACACCAGCGGAAGCAGAATGATGTCACAACAGCCAACCACATCACAACATGGCATAATCTAGCGAATCTAGCGCAGTCTACGGTAATGCACTAGGCCACGTATAACACGGTGAGGCCTTGGAACCTAGATGAAGCCCAAGCCGCAATCTCGACGCAAAAGCCACGACCTCAAGAAGCCTCGAGCCTTCTCTAAGACAAGGCCGGCCCAGACTCTCAAATCATAACAAAAAATGCCAACATCGATTACGGAATTCGAAAGGACGATAGGAACCTAAACACCAAACGAGCAACACCACGGAGTGCTTGGGTACTGGGCATTTGGAGGCGGATGCGGTAGTTGCAAAGCCCAGACAAGGTGTGATAGAGCTCTAGGGCTTGGATTCTTTGGAAAGTCTATGGTCTAGAGTTTAAGTACCTCAAGGATCTAGGATTGAGGGCTTCCTTGGGGTAGCTCCTCGATCCGAAAACTGTGAGTTCTGATCCCAGCTCCTTCGACTGGCACTGAACTCTCAACCCTGAAACTCGACAGCCCAAGCCCAAAACATCTATAAACCCTCGGAGTCCTCTGAACGCTTTCAGGCGCTAAGGTTATGGGTTGTTGAGTTGTATCTTGTAGGGCTTTATGGAGGCTTATAAGGCTTAAGGATTTTAGGGTCGAGCCCACCTAAAACCCTCGAAGATAAACCTTGCATGTACGTGGGCTGTCTCAAGCTGCATCGTTGAAGCCGGGCATTCGGCCCTACGAGTTTAGGGCTTCAAGGGTTTAGGGTTGAGCCCTGGGTTCCGATCCTTTTTTAACTGAAATACGACGCACGTCTTTGCGCGGTCTGCAGGCCCAGGCACCTGGCAGGGCAACATGGTGCTGGGGTTCGAGCTCTTTGTTTGAATTTTATTCGGGCGTAGGCGCTACTCCTGCGATGGCATTGAGGAACTTAGGGGGGCGGTGGTGTATCGACAAGTTGCGTGAGGATCAGATTCGACCACAGAACGGGTTCGTCGTGACGCAAGTCTCGTGGGGCTTTCTGAGCCCAACCCCCACCACCGAGGGTACACTTGCCCTCATGGGAGTTTCCCGAACCCGAAGACCACCCCAGTGAACTCCTAAAACCACCTACGCCTCAAAACTCTCTGGACCTTTCAACCCAGCTGACCCTACAAACATCAATCCAAGCCTAAGCTCCTAACCCCTGCACCCAAATCAACCCTAAAGCAACCATGCCGCTAGGCACTAGAGTTACCGATGGCTAAACCCTAAGCCCAATTAAAGCCCTGAAGCCCAAACCCTAAACGTACCTCTCTCGAGTCCATTGCTTGCATCGTTGAAGTCTTGGGATTTTGGGGCTGCGGGTGCTGTTTTAGGGTTCTGTATCGGGTTCGAGGGTTTAAGATTCTGCTTTAGGGTTTCAGGTTTTGCTTTCGGGCTTAGGGCTCGGCTTTAGGGTTGTTTAGCACGGTGTTTAGAGTTTTGCTTCAAGGTTTGGGGTTGTGGGGGTTATGGGTCGTGAAACATGCTCCGACTTCAGGGCTGAGGGCTAGGGTGGAGGGTCTTGGGTTTTGGGCAGCTGAGGGTTTCTTGCGGTGTCTGGAGATGTCGGTGGATGATGGGCTCATAGCTGCAGCCCGGATGGCTGAAGCGGGCTGTCGGCCGAAAGCGGCTGCGGGCCGCAAGCTGCAATAGCGGATGTTGGGAATGATGGCCCTCCATGTCAACGTTCTCTATTGCCTGTGGTCAAGATCGTCGGGCTACGACGGTGGAGTGGACGACAACTGCACAATGATTATGCCGCCGCGGCGGCTGATGATCATGATGATCATGGTGGTGATGATGAAACTGACGATGATGGCGACGATAACGATGATGATGATGACGGTGATGATGTAGTATCCAGTCATAATGACAACACTGAGCAGTGCTCCAGAACGATATCGAAAGGACCATAAACTACTCAACAGGAAGGGGCCCGGGAGCTCAAGGCTGAAACGATTGCCTCACTGAGCATCACTAGTTATATGGGTTTTCGGATATTACTCAGTTACTAAACCCTGAACCATCCTGAATCCTAATGGTTAGGTACTTGCCTGGGGTTAAGATAGTGATGAAGGTTAGCACTTGGGAGAGAAGGTGACTACATATTAATCCCTGTAAGCTTTAAACTTAAAGCCCTATGCCCTAAATCCCTAAACCCCAAACCCTGAGCCCCTAAACCCTAAACCCTAATCCCTAAACCCTGAAGTAGCAGATACTCGGACCCTACAGCATCGAGGGGATTCGAGTGGGGAGTCGAAGATGTCAGGATGACCTTAGGGTTTAGGGTTTAGGGTTCTCGCAGACGCACTGCACCCTGGAAGCCTCCATCAACCGCTACTTAAAGGATCATGGGACTGTACCTGGGGTTGTAAATAAGATAACCATATTCTGATAATACAAGTACCTATCACTTGGGTAAGACAAGTATAACCTTACATACGAAGTCCCATGATCCTCCAGATACTGAGCCCTACCGTAAGCTCCCATGACCTGCTGTTGCCGAAGGCTCTCTTTATGAACCCTAGGAGGGCGCTAGGATAGAATTAACAGGACCCTACAAAAAAAATGTAGGTATTGGTCGGTGAAGGTAATGCAGAATCCGACTACCGTCTAGCTCGCTTATGCTACCAGTGCAGCAAAAGCCCTCAACCCTAAAGCCGCACCCGAAAACCCTCAATCCTGCAGCGGTAAGGCGGTCCAAGCCACACAGTGAATTTAAGAAATACACATCTCTGCACTGCTATGGCCTCGGATACTTAGGATTTTGGGGCTTAGGCTAGGGTTGGCTTTCTAACATCTTTCAGCCCTGCTTCGTTTTTCGACTAACTATCATAGCCATCTCAGAGGCTTCGCTTTCGAAGAAAGAACAAGAGCTGCTTCGAAAGAGAAAGAGAGCGCAGGTATGTGATGCAGGGTTTCAGGCTCACAGGATTTCGAGGCTTTGGTGAAGAGGGTCGGTCTGAAGCATCTTGTTCTTGCTGACACGCGGCTCTGCCGGGATGCCGATTGCAATTAAGTTGGGTGATACCTGGAGCACGCTGCTCCACTCCGGAAGGCATGAAGACGAGCTGCAAAAGCCATGGAGCCACAGTCTTCTAAAGACTTCAGACAGTAAGCCCACGCTCTGATGCTGTCAGAAGTTACTTCCCTTGGGCTTTGGCTTTGCAATCGTCTGGGCCGTAGTGGGTGCCGCGCACGGTCCCCCCGCCAGCGTCACCCAGCTTTCGCCAGGCATCGGCATCGTTTTCGTTCAACTCCAGAACCCTCACGAAGCAGTCCTGCGAGAGACTAGCCCCATGAGGACTGCGCATAATGCAGTTCGATTTTTGGGAGAATTTAAGGTTTGGGACTAAATACTTCGGCCGTCACAGGACGGGGCGTGCTTTCAAGCTTGGAAGGTCCGAGTCTCAGGAGTCTAGCTGTGCAGGGTTTGGGGTTTAGGGGTTTGGGTCTCTTGTGGGGCTTCAGGTTTCAGGTGTCAGGCCTTCGGGAGTGCCAGCCCTACAAGTTCCGGGAAGCCTTCTCTACTTGCCAAGCGCACGTTGTTTCGGGTGTGGGGGCTTTGGGTCTCAGTACGAGTGGCATGGGTTTTTCGGAGTTCTAGGCTCCATGGATCCTCGGCTCACCCCCCTTGCGCAGGAGCAGGCCTGTTTTGCGGGAAAACACGCCCCCACGCCTAGATAAGTATGCCACTTATGACTTCGAGAGTCTTGGATCTATGGCTTCCGGTGTCAATCAGCTTCGGGAGCCACTGCGATTGAACGAATCAGCGGGCCGCAACAAGCCCTCGACTGACAGGCCCTGACCCACCCGCCCCCACCCCCACCCCATGCCCCCCGGTCCTTTGCGTCATAAGACTGGCCCTTCACGGCTCCACCGCCTTTGAGACCCAGGTTGCACCACGCAAGCGCATAGGTCTCATCGAGCTCCAGCGTCTTCACGTAGCAGGCCTGCAGGGCAGGGAAGCGGCCCCCCCACCGACCCCTAACTAAGTAGACCACTTATGACTTCGAGAGTCTTGGGTCTATGGCTTCCGGTTTCAATCAGCTTCGGGAGCCGTTGCGATTGAACGAATCAGCGGGCCGCAACAAGCCCTCGACTGACAGGCCCTGACCCGTCCCCCCCCCACCACGCCCCCGGTCCTTGTCGTCATAAGCCTGGCCCTTCACGGCTCCACCGCCTTTGAGACCCAGGTTGCACCATGCAATCGCATCGTTCTCATCCACCTCCACTGCCTTCACGTAGCAGGCCTGCAGGGCAGCGGCAGCGAGGGAAACGACTTGGCGCCCTGGCTGCCTGTAGACTTCCAGCACCCATATAGGTCTAACTGAAATGGGTTTCTTCAAACCTCCAAGACCGGGATCCGAGGCCGAGAGGCTAGACTGTGCAGAGTGTTTTTGCGGGAAGTTTTCGGGGGTTTGAGACTTCTAGGCTCCATGGATCCTCGGCTCCCGCCCTTGCGCAGGAGCAGGCCTGTTTTGCGGGAAGCGGCCCCCCCACCCCTAACTAAGCAGACCACTTATGACTTCGAGAGTCTTGGGTCTGAGCCGCTGCGATTGAACGAATCAGCGGCAAAAAGCCCTCGACTGACAGGCCCTGACCCACCCCCCACCCACCCCACGGCCCCCGTCCTTCTCGGCATAAGCCTGGCCCTTCACGGTGCCACCGCCACGGCGACCGAGGTTTCTCCACGCAAGCGCATAGTTCTCATCCACCTCCACTGCCTTCACGTAGCAGGCCTGCAGGGCAGCGGCACCGGGGGTAACGACTTGGCGCCCTGGCTGCATGTAGACTTCCAGCACCCATGTAGGTCTAACTGAAATGAGGGGCCAGGGAGTTGGGGTCTCTTATGGGGCTTCAGGTTTCAAGGAGCTTCGGGCGTCTAGAAGGTCATTGTGGAATTTCCGACTTTGACTGCGGAAACCTGCTCAGCGGGCAATTACAAGCTTGGGCCTCCCATTTACGGCCGGAAGCTGCAAACTCTGACAGCCCCAAGTCAAGCACCCCGCCCGGTCCTTTGCGTCATAAACCTGGCCCTTCACGGTTCCACCGCAGCAGGCACCGAGGCTGCACCACGCATTCGCATAGTTCTCGTTGAGCTCCAAGACCTTGAGAAAGCAGGCCTGCAGAGCAGCAGCACCGGGGGTAACGACTTGGCACGCTCGCTGCATGTAGACTTCCAGCATGCATAATAAGCTTAACTCATTTCTTCAATCCTCCAAGATCGGGATCCGAGACCGGAGCAGCAAATGGCTTTAGAGTCTGAGTGGCTAGACTGTGCAGATTGTTTTTGTGAGCGGATTTTGGGGGAAGCTTGGGACTTCTGGGGCCTTCAAAAGACAGCGGCCTCAAAGTTGAGCGGCGAGTCTTGGTCTTAGGGCTGGCTCAAGCGGTAACGGGAGGTTCAGAGGTTGCATGAACTGTTACTGTGGTTGTAGCGTTCTGGCTTTTAGGCCGTCGTAGGCTGCTTCATGAACCCTCGGCTCCCCTTGTCCAGGAACCCTGCACTTCAGACACTCAGACAACTCCCTTCAGATCCACGAAGCAGTCAACAATAATTACAAATCGCAATACATCTGCAGGGGTGGAGTAGGGGTCATCAAATGACTGTACGTCTGGGGGTTTCAGGTGCATAGCGGGCTCGCACTTTACACGTATGCGAGGGCAGCTCCGTCCTTCTTTGAGTAGCTCTGGCCGTTGCGCTCGCCCCCGCCTTTTCGGCCCAGGTCCCAGAATGCCTGGCAGTTTGTGCAGGACAAGCTGACATGATCTGTCTAGGGTACTGTCACGTGGCTTCTCTTGTGAACACTGTGTAACTGCATAAGTGTTCTCTGACTAGATCGAGATGGAAAACTTGCAATGAGCGTTCAGTACAACACCCGAATGCCAATGTGCTTGAGTACCGAGCCACACGACTCAGTCGGAGCCAACGATGTCAAGGAAATTAGTTTCCGAACAGATTTACAAGGCGGCAGGTCGGGCATCGCGAGGCAACGCAGCCCGTCATTCATCGCCAAACATACCGGCAGTGTACAACGAAAGTCTGATCAGCTGCCAACAACGTCTCAAGCTGAATGATGCTGAAACTTTGTGTCGTGTCCAGCCCATGCAGGGCTCCAGCCCATGGTTGCAAAAATCCTCTTCCTTGCGAATACTGGTGCCCATGGCCTCGGAAAAAGCAGCTGCCTGGTCCCTACAATATACCCTGAATCCTAGGAAAGCCCCTACATCTGAATCTAAAGGTCGCAAGATCCCCTGAAGTAAGCATGCTGCCTCGAATCCAATCCCTGGCGGGTCCTGCCTCGGCTTCTTTGACATCTGCGGGGCTGGGCGAAGCGCTCGGGACCAGGGCCTTCGACGGAGTGAGTCGGTATTTCGGCCCTCGAGACCCTATAGGACTCGGCACTTCGGGCCCAGCTCGATCTTTGCTTCGGCTATTATATGGTTGGCTTCTGAGTCTCTGGGCTGGGGATGTGATATACCAGAGTACTGTGAATGCGCTTCTCTGGCGCTTCTCTTGCGAACACCATGCAGCTGCCATGTAACTGCCTGACTTTTATTGCCTTATTGAAATCGCAAGCCGTACATAAATTGAACGGTTAGCACGACACCGGAACCCCCTCGAGCTCAGCTAGGTGCGACGAAGTCGAAGCAAGCGATGCGAAGGAAAACAGCGGCCGAGCGGATTTACAGGGCATGAGGTGGGCAACTTTAGCCCGATCATCGCCAAACTTGCCAGCCAGGCACAGCCGAGGAAGCTGCCACGGAAGCCATGTGTGAATTTGCAGTGGATGTTTTTCGAAGGGATCAACAAGCGGCCGCCTGCAACCTGAAATTCAGGTCACCAAATGAAAGGCCTCTGTCCCGCTCTTGGCATCCCTCGAGGTTGCGGGTGCAAGTGCCGATTGGCAGGCTTCGAGAGTTCGACGCATCCAGGACATTCTTCCATGCCAAACTCCTGTGTGAAGGAACTTACGTTGCAGAAGGGAGTCTCCTTCAAGAGCACATTTGAAAAAGGCCGTGCAACAAAAACTCTTCTTGCCAACTCGACCCCGTTGAAGGCCTTCTCCGACCGCCGCGCAGCTCTGCGTGGCTGCGGGTTTAGGGCTTTACTTCCCTTTGGTTAGTCGGGAATGGAGGAATGGGGTACAATTATAACTACTATTACTACCATTCTTCCATTCCCTACTAACCAAAGCTTTCTTTTTGGGAGCTGGACATGTAAGGCCGGATACCTTCTGCAGCCTTTGAGGACATGTTTTTCCTGGAATGTAGCATAATGCATTGTATGATATGATGTAATGCAGTTATAAATCCTGAACCCTAAACCCTATAAATCCGCAAATTTGGTGTCTCTTTTCGTGTATTCACTTAGTTCCGATCCCACGCGGTGCAGCCTTGGCTTCTTCACCGGAGCCCTGGGCCTGCAGAGCTGGTGGGGCAAGGATCCCGGCGGTTTAAAAGGGTTCTTGAGACTCATGGGGCTGTACCTTATGCTGGGGTGTGCTTATTTTAGAAGGAAGCCTATTTAGCAGGGTCCGATGTGGAGCTCCCATGTGGCGTGCGCAGCCTGATTGTGAGAAGAAGGTGCCAGGCATAGCCAGGGTCTACATGTGCTGCTGATTGCAGGAACTAAGGCGGTGCTGCAGGTATCAGGGCTGCGACGTCGTGCAGAACCTCAAGCAGATGGTCTACTTCCGTGGAACATGACTAGCGGCTACAGTGCAACAAAACGTACAAGAAACGCTCGGTTGAAAGTGTAGATGCTACGCCAGCGGGATAAGACAAGAAACATCAATTGCTTCAAGTACCAAGATATGAAGAGTCCCACTTCTGGATTCGGGTTGCTGGAGCAGCCTAAAGGCCTCGGGTCTACCGGCATGCTCAAACCACCGAAATACATTGCAGCGGGCTGCCTGTTCGTAAGTTGGGTCTTTCCCCGGCTTCGAAAAACCCTGAAGTCAAAAACCTGGGGGGGGGGAGGGGGCGTCGCAGCTCATTCATCATCTCCACCTCAGTTGTGAAGGATCTTGATAATGTCATCAACGAGCCGATCTCAATGCGCATGACCACCGACCACCGTATTGAAGACGATAAGGGGGCCATGTGCGCTAACCAAACTTGAGAGTTATGATTGCCTGGTCCTGGAATGCCTAGGAGAATTCGGAAAGCAAAAACAATGCGCAGAAAATGCGATCGAAAAAGCGATTCTGGGATCCCTGTAGCTTGGCCTCTTGGAAAAAAGCAAATAAAAAGCGATAAAACAACACATAAAAGCCAATAAAAAAACAAATATTCGCTGGTGGCTGCTTTTGTATTGCATTTATTCTGCATTTTACACTATGTTTGGGTTATTATTCGCTGGAGCTGTTTTTGAGTTGCTTTATTTGCTTTCTTTTTACATGTTCGATTGCTTTGTTTTTGCTTTTGTTTTGCTTTCGTTGTGCGACCATTAGTGGCAATCGCCTTTTTGATTACATTTCTGGTGCATTGTTGGCGCTTTTTTAATTGTTGCACCGGGATCGTACGTATTCCAGGACCGGCAATCTTAACTTGAGAGACTGCCGTTGGCGTGCCTTCGGTTCTGCTGTTGCTGCTGCATCCGCAACAGACGCCGCAAGGTCCTCCGGGAAGAACAACTACAGGGGATAAATACCTCAAAGGTCTTCTGTAACGGTTTACCCTAGTAAACACCTAAAGTACCAAATCAATAGAAATCAATAGAAATCACTTCGGGCTCGCTCCTGCTATGCCCTATAGATTTAAGCAGCACAGTGTCTCCAATAGTTATGTTGTACTTATATACACTGCCTTTACGCCGTTTGTAACCATTGATGCTACATGTTATGATGTTCAGCAGAAAATTTCGAAGGCCTGCAACTACCCTCAGAAGCGTATGAGCCCGAACTTTGGCAGAGTCCTTGCTGCCGGCCATGCCTTTCGGCAGCGCTGCGGCGATGGGCCCTTGCGGGGTCGATGACGAGGCGCCAGGATGCGCACCCTGGAACGCAGCTTGGGGAGGTCGGGTGGATTAATTCTTGAAAGCCTGCCGGACCCCACAGAACCTGCCGTGTTCGGCTATGGCTTTTGCCTCTGTGCTCAGGCTTGTTTAGAAGGGTCCCGGTAGGCGCAGACAGGTTTGGAGTTGCGAAGTGTTGCATGAATCTCGAAGACCATCTTCGAAGGCGAGGGATGCAGGCAGGAGCCGAAGAGCTTCTATCTTCTATCGCCCATGATGGACTAACCGGTACAGAGGTCCAGGACTTTCAGCAGAGATCTTGTCTTGCTCCATGCTTTGAGCATCCTGAAAGACTCCTTCTGGAACTTCCTTCGATGATCGAAGGCAGTTTCACTCACTTTGCACTACCTTCATGCACAGTATGAGTCTCGAGTAGAATGCGGGCCCAAGAAACGGCCTTTTGCTACACGCAGCTAGCGGAGCGCCTAGGTGGTGGAAGATGACACGGCGTCGAACAGTATTGACTCCAACACACGAAGGATATGGTGGCGGGTGAAGTTCAAGCAGTTAAGACCCATGGAACTCCTCCTGCGTGTATACCCCTTCTTCCATAACCAGCGAAACAGCTCCCACAGTCGGAAGTCCAATGTGAAGGCGCCCCGGCACTGCTCCACGAAGACGTCTGGGTCTGTGAGTTCAAGCACTCCGCAGTCTTGGACCGCTGTGGCTTCAGAAGTGCGTTCATGCTCCCCTATAACCAAAAACTTACCCCAGGAAGGGTGAGTTCCGAAACCCGAGAAGAAAGCAAATTTTGCGGTGTGCGCGCAGTGTGTAATCGCATGCAGCTAAAATCCCGTGAAGATTAAAAGATCTTTGAATAGAAACTTCGATGACCCATCACACGAAGCACTAGTAACCGGCCAATGCTTGTTCGAGGTGAGCAGGAAAAACTGAAGGTCCATTACCACTTGAGCCCTGTCTGTATCGTATTTTTCCGATGGTTGAGGCTTCTAATTCGTAGGTTGGTTCTGCACGACCGAGTCTTCTGTGCGGGTGGAGTGTTCCGGGGGTCAGAAGTTTGAAATGCCATGGTTCGCGGTAGCAGGTATGAGACTATCAGACAGCCTTCGCCGGACCTAACTCCAATGAACACAGGTCGCGTAGACAGGGGAAAGGGGTCCTTCTTGTTCTGGGGCTTCCCTGAATCGTTCTGCCAGGCAGCTTTAATCCGTGATGCGTTTCGCACTCGGCAAGATAACACGATCATACTTGGGGCATCAAGTGACTTATAAAGTATAAGGATCATACATGTCCTTAATTAGGGTCAAGAGTCACTGCCTGTAATTATCCTTAGTTGCCTTAGTTACTAAGTCTCATGATCCTTGAAGTAGGGCTGCTTGGCACTGTGATTTATGGTGGCATCCTGTTAGCACAGCATCATTGCTGAACAAGCTTCCTCTGTACTCATGCTTATGAACTTTCTTAGTAGTATCTGTCAGACTCTAGTACCCAACTGGACATGTCTCTGAAATAGCACATGCATAAATAAACTTTGAGCCCAACACTCAGTGAAATGAAGTAGGGTTTCTATTGCAAGTATAACATAACACCATAATTTTACCAAAGTCTGCGCTCACCCTGCTTCAGGATCCCAATCCCTCGCTCTCCAGCCTTGGCTTCCGGCCCAGTGGATGCTGCGGTAGGTGGTGACGGGAGAAAGCCTGCAGCCTTGCAGAGGCGCGGTTAGAGTTCTACGCAGGCGACATCACCAGAATCATTCAGGCTACTTGTAGCAGAATGAGGCCATGACTCATGAGAAGTTATGAGTGAGTACCGTGTAGGCTGACGATATACTTTGTCATGTATTTGTCATTTCCTGTTGTCACTCTGCGCCGATATCCGTTTTCCAGGTGTGTTTGTCTTGCTGTGCTGCACAACAGGAAAAACCATGACAAAGCAGTGGCACATAAACTGCAAAAACAAGATGATACGACCAGGAGCCAAGACGAGGAAGGATCCTCCTAAACCGAAAATTGCTCCCGACACGGAGCATAGTCTTCTTTGTGTCATGTTCTTGTCATGTGTTGTCGCCGTTTTGTCATTGTTGTGTCCTTCCGCGACAGGCTGCGAAGGCCCATAGCGGGGCAACCAGAAAAGAATGACAAAGGAATGACGAGGGCACATGACACAACATGACAGCTACAAATGGTATCGCAATGACAAAACCACGACAAACCAACGACAACCACGAGTGATAACACACACGACAAAAACATGCCAAAATTGAATATCTGGGTATCCCCAGAGTGCAATTCTTGTAGCTGTTACAGGGCTACATGTATGATATTTCTTAGACTTAATTGGGTTGTGGGCTTCCACGCTTTCAATTCCATAAGATCACAAAACTGCAGAGGCCGGGTTCGAGCTGTGATTCAGAGTATGAGTACCCCAAAAGGGACCCTAATTGGGGTTATGGTACTTATAACTGTCTAAAATAACTACTTAGTAAGTCCCCCGACCCTCCAAGTATGAGACATGACAGGTGTCCGACGTTCTGAAGGGGAGCTAGGACGCATTTCTCTGCCAGCGAGAATCAAGAAGACATGTTGTGAGCTCATTCATCCTCTCCGCCTGAACTACATATGACGGAACAGGTTGTAAATAGTGTCATCATGCGAATATCATATTAAAACTCGACCTCATTGCACATGGCTACTAGATTGGAGTTGCTTACTATACCATCAGCGCCATGCCTGTCAAGCTTTGTGGACTCCTGCCTTCGGCTCTGCTGTGGCCGCTGCATCCGCAGTAGATGCCGCAGAGTCCTCCCGGAACCGGCTACAGTACCATACCAAATCGCTGGAAACCGCTTCGGGGTCGCTCTTGCTGCCGCCGCTGTCAGCTCTATGTTCGAACAAGCAGAGAATCTTCAGTCAGTATTTGCTAAGTAGATAATTACTGCCTTTTTTCAAGTACGAATCCTTTATATGCTGCATTTTCTAATGCCCGTAGAGCCCGAAACTTGGCAAAGTCCTTGCCGCCGGTCTTGCCTTTTCGCAGTGCTGTGGCGATGGGCCCGGCAAGGGTCGATGACGAGGCGCCGCCAGCATCTGCACCCTGCACAAAGTTAGGAGGGTTTGGGGCTCATGGCTTGACAGCCTTTGTACCCTTACAGTTTCTTTAAGGCTTCTGCCGACGACAGCAGCTTGAGAAGGTTGTTCGGATTCTACAAACAAGCCCTATAGGTCGAGGCAGATCGTCAGTCCGCCTTCCAAACTGCATCGAAACAAAACTGGATGAGTGTCCGAATTGAGCCACGGTAAGATTCTTCAAAATGCATGCAGTAGCCGAGCAGCTTTCCTCACTGCTTTCAGCTGTGCATTTAAGCTTGGATGTACCACACCCGGCCGATTGTGGCTGGTTCAAGAAGCCTATGGCCGGCAGGGCAGGTAATTGTCGCATTTGCACCCTGCGTTTCGGGATTATTTGATGGTGGAGGCATCGACATGGCGCAGGTTGTTGGGTTTCTGATGGCCGAAGCAGCTGCGCGGGTCGATGTTCCCAGTGTCACAGGTTTGGGGTTGTTTCATACATGGCTTGGCGCACCAGATATAAGATGGCCTCTGCTATGCCTTATTCCGATGAACGCCGTCCACCGGACGGTGAGCAAACAGGGGGTGGGGACAGGGCAGCAAACTGATGAGATTGTTGTATCTGCGCTTCACACGCGGGCCTGCTTCTACCATGCAGCAAATTGATGCGATGTTATATCAGTGCTTCATCGTGGCCACACAACCATAGTCCTGCCTGGCGCTGCTTCCTTTGCACCGGTGGCTTTGGCTTCCTTTGTGGATACGTTCCTCTATGATCGGCAATGACGTCCTCTGAACACAAGAACAAGCTCCGGGCCCAGCACTCTAATCAACCGCACTGTGATCACATGCACACAGGATCCGATCATTCGTTGCTCCACAATACGAACAACAAACTGACAAAAGAGAAATATGTACATATGTACATGTATGTATGCATGCATGTATCGGGGCCCCTGGGAATACCAGTACGGTCTGTGTTCAAACCCCAGACCTGCACGTACTAGGTCACAGGCCCAAGCAGGCATCTTATGCCCTGCCTCTGCAGGCTTTTGGCACAGCTTCTCCGCGATTCTGGCAGCGATCCAGCGCGCATCCTTTCCCCTGCAATCCACATAGATTTGGCTTGGTGGGATCGCCAGTGCAAGGAGCCCTTCTGCCTTTCCCTCCTTGTCGTAGGGATGACCTGGACCCGAGGGCGGCTCTGGAGGCCAGGGATCGTCGCACACCCTGAGAGGCAGGATATCGATATCGTGGCCATGGGCAAACTTGACTTCTTCGTAAGAGGAGTATTTCGAGTTGGTGATCTCGCCGTAGTGCCAGGAGCATACAGAGAGCATCACGCCCTTGCGCTTTCGGAGTCGCCCCAGGAAAATCGCAGTAGAGTCTCCAAAGTCTCCTCCTGCCCCTTCTTCCACCATCAGGACCGAGTAATTCAGATCCTTTAGGATCTTGTAAACTTGTCGGAACAGCCTCTCCGTCTCCTTGCCATCAAATCTGGCAGAAAACATTCCTTCCCGAGAGCCTGTGCCGTCCGGTATGACCTCCTTCCCGCCCCAGGGCACCTGGCACAAGGCATTCTGGCGAAAAACCCTCAACAGAAACAAGCTGTAAGAACCACCACACCTCCCCGACATGCCCACATGTCCTACCGCCATGCCCACAAGTTTTCAAGCGAGGCAGGCAGGCTGCAGCCATCGCTTCGCTCCTGCAACAAAGGCATCAGTCTTCGAGATTCCTTCTTCTCGTTTTCGTATGATATGCAGGGCTCTATGAATTCTAGGCTGGTTCTGCGGGGCGCAGATCCGACGGCCATTCTGGTGTTACCCTCAGCCACTCTCGCCGCTTGGTGTGTCTGAGGGCCTGTTCGTTCGGATTTGGTCGTGGTCTATAATTGGTCTGCAGCCAAACACCTCGTTTGTCTATATGCTTGGATACATTGGTTTCTACCGACGCCAGCGCAATGCCCTAAACTCTAAACCCTGAACTCTGTTTCCAAAACAAAAAGCATCGGGGGCCTGCTGCTCAATGGTCGAACTGCCGCACCATCCAGGCGAGGACGGGGGTTTAGGGTTAGGGTTTAGGGGACGACTGCTGGTAGATCAGCGTGCGAATTGTGCTGTTATAGGAAGGACTGCACAGCCGACCGTCATGGAAATTGAACAGTAGCCGTGGGTACGCATACGGCGACGTATACGGTCTGCCCTGCGGATGCTGCCGGGAAGTTCGCGGGGATCCTGAGCCGCGAGGACGGCAGAACGGAAGCGAGTAATGCAGCTTGTTGGAGTTGCCCAGTGTCCTCCTGCAAGTGGTGTCCGTAGGTCCTGTGCACTCTGCACTCCTGATCTATGGAAAGTTTAGGATTTCTGGGGCTGGAGGTTAAGGGTTATGGAAGTACATAGGGCTAATCCGCAACCAACTGGACGAACAAGCTTCACTTCATTCGCGGGGGTGCCGAGTCCTTCCTTCTTAAAGGCGGCTTGCGCAAATTATTCAGAGGGGCGTCTTGCCAGGATGCCGACGAGCATTTCGGAAGGATTTCTGACAGAGCAAGGGCTTAGTGGGAACAATTCTGTTGCCGGACACAGTGTGGAGGTTTGATTTATGAGGATCTGTAGAACATGATAGAACGTGATGTCACATCAGCAAACTACTTTACAACATGGCATACTGTGGCACAGTTTACAGCAACACAGTAGAGCCAGAGCATATCACGGTGAAGCCACAGATGGAACCTCGATGTAGCCTGAGCCGCATTGTCGACGCAAGGGCTTCGCAGCGGGCCTTCAGCACTAAGTCCCGGACTCTCAAATTTTGACGAAAGTGCCAACATCGATAAAGATTCAGCCGCGATGACAAGATAATGTGAAACACCAGACGAGCAACAGTATGGACTGCTCTGCCTCTGGGTTTTTGGAAGTGGATGCGGTAGCTGGAAAGCCAAGGCAAGGTGTAGAAGAAATCCAGGGCTTAGGGTTTTGTGGTTTAGTTTTTCGAAGGTCTGCTGAGTAGACGTCAAGTTTTCAGGGATCTAGGATTGAGGACTTGGGATACTCGATCCGAAGGCCTAAGGCTGTGGAGGCTTTCAGGGCTTCGGGATTTAGGGTCGAGCCCTAACACTATAAATCCGAAAACCCTCGGAGCTCGTAAACCCTAGACATTGCGTGTATGTGGGTTGCCTCATGCCCCATCGTTGAAGCCGTGCCCCTATTCGGGCTTCAAGTTTTTGCGCTTAGTTGAGCCCTGGGTTCTGATCCTTTTCCAACGTCAGAGATTGCGACGTCTTTGCGGGGTCGTTGGACCACCCGAAGGGGTGGGCACCTCGCCGGGCACAAATGCTGCTGGGGTTGGAGGTCTTTGGTTTGGGTTTTTGGGGTTTAATTAGAAGGGTTTCGGGTTTGGGGGCTTTGATTTAAGTGCAATGAGGGTTTACTGTTAGGCTTAGTTAGCGGTGCAAGTAGGGCAGGGTTTCAGTTTCAGGGTTTGGGGTTTGGGGTTTCGGGTTTCGAGATTCCGAGGCTTCAGTCTGCAGGGCTTGGAATCCAGCAGCGACAGTTCCGAAGTAGGCTTAGGGGAGCAGGCATTCTACACCTGGCACAAGGCATTGCCGTGAAAATCCATCAACACAAACAAGCTGCAGGCCGATGAGACCTCAGCCCGGAAGAAACCACGACACATCCCAAACGTGCGCGTAGTTCCTACGACCACGCCGACACTTGGTCAAACGAGACAGGCAGACTACCGCCATCGCTTCGCTCCTGCAGCGAAGGCAAGACTCTTCAAGGCCCCTATCACATATGGAGGTTCCTTACTCAAGTGTATACCCCACAACAAGATTCGATTCATATTTGGGGTTTCCACGGGGGGGCAGGTCAGGCGGCCATTCATGTTCGACATTCGGGACCCTCGGCCACGGTCGCGTGGTGCATCTGAGGGCCTGTTTGTTCGGAATGATTTGGTCGCGGTCTTGAATTTGTCTGCAGCGGAGCACATCGTTTCTCTGCATCCCTTTTTGTCGATTGGCTTTATAGGCTTCTTCCGGTATCTATGCAGCACAATACCCTCAACCCTAAATAAGACCGTAAGGGAACTCAAAAAGTGTCCCCCAAGCTCCGCCTAGCAAACCGGTCCTCGAAGCTTCCAACAGCAAAAAAGCATCGGGCCCGGCTGCTCAAGACCTACGTACTCAATTTGCGGGTCTCGGATTCAGGCCTTACCTCTGGTAGGGTTTGGGTTTAGGATCTATACAAGTTTAAAAAGAGTAGTCAGTAGTCTCCATTGTAATTCCGTGATTTGGTGTAACCAATCTTATAATTACCTAGGATCCTATAGTTTAGGGTAGCCCGACAAAAGAAACTGCGACAAAAACAGAATGCCAAGGACTCCAAAGGCTAGCAGAGTGCCTCGTGGCTTTTCAGGACACGGGATCCTGATGTTATCGGGAGCATTTATGCCATGCAAAGAAATTTCGGAGTTTGCTCAGCAGGGGTACTACGCCGAGCTCCCCATTGTTTGCGCTTCTCTTGTTGCTCGTGCAGGGGTCGCATGAGCGTCGTTGATGATCGCCGGGTTGAGCTGCACCAACTAAAGATCATAGCTTCCCACAAGAGTACCATCCCAGCAGTCACGACAGCAAGCAGTTTAACATACAGTGAGCGAAGGTCGGGGCATGCTCAAGGAGGATTGCGGATTTAAGGCGTATAGGTTGAGCGATGGGTCGGACAACGAAAGACCTCCCCCCCAGGCATAGCTAGCGGTCCTTCAAGTGCTCTGCAGCGCTGGATCGTGGCTTCCGCCATCTGCACCTGCGTTCGGGAGCCCCTGGCATTCAAGGAGCTTACAGGGCGGTGGTGTATCGACAAGTCGCGTGAGGGTCAGATTCGACCAAAGAACGGGTACGTCGTGGAGCAAGTCTCCGAGGCTGCACTTGCCCTCGAGTTTCCTGAACCCGAAGACCACCCCAGTGAACTCCTAAACCCACCTACGCCTCAAAACTCAACCCAGCTGACGACACAAACATCACTCCAAGCCTAAGCTCCTGAACCTCTACACCCAATTCAACCCTAAAGCCGTGCCGTGAAGCACTAGAGTTACCGATGATGTGGACACCGCCTCCTAGACCCAAAGCCCAAAGCCCTAAAGCCCACACCCTAAACGTACCTCCCGAAAGTCCATTGCTTGCATCGTTGAAGTCAGGGGATTTTGGGGCTGCGGGTGCTGTTTTAGAGTTCTGTGGGGTTCGAGGGTTTCAGATTCTGCTTTAGGGTTTAAGGTTTTGTTTGCGGGTTTAGGGCTCGGGGCTTTGGGTTGTGTTGTAGGCTTAAAGTTCTGCTTTAGGGTTTCACAGGTGGAACAGGCTCCGACTTCGGGGTTGAGGGCTGCGGTGGAGGGGTTTGAGCTTTGGGCAGCTCAGGGTTCCTTGCGGTGTCTGGAGATGTTGGCGGATGATGGGCTCATGGCTGCAGCTCGGGTGGCTGAAGCGGGCTGTGGGGCCGAAAGCTGCAACAGCAGGATGTGGGAAATGATAGCTCCTCCGCGTGAACGTTCGCTCCTGCCGTTCAACTGGAACCAGTGGTCAAAATCTTCGTCGCCATCACCAACATCTCCGGCATCATGATGACGACCAGCTCCATCATCATCATCATCATCGTCATAGTCATCACTTCCGATTCCAACTTCATCATCGAAACAATCGCACTACGTGGTTTTATGGGTATGAGCAGGGCTATGACGGTGGAGTAGACAACAAATGCACAATGACTATGCCACTGCGGCGGCTGATGACCATGATGATCACGGTGCTGACGATGAAACTGATGATGATGATGATAATGATGATGACGGTGGTGATGTAGTATCCAGTCATGAGGACAACGCTGAGCAGTGCTCCACGAAGATCTCGAAAGGTCCATGATCTACGCAACAGTAAAGGGACCGGGAGCTCAAGGCTGAAATGATTGCCTCACTGAGCCATAATTAGCTACAGGGATTTTAGGATACTACGAAACGCTGAACCCCGAAATCCTAATGATTAAGCATTTGGGTTCAAGATAGTAAGGGAGGCTCGTATTTGGGAGCATGTGTGATTAATAATCCTGGAAGACTTCAAACTTTAAGCCTGAAGCACTAAACCCTGAACCCCCAAGCCCTAAACCATGAACTATTAGATACTTGAACCCTTTGACGGTTGAGCTGCAGGTTGGAGTGGGGGAATTCGAAGCTGTCTGCCCCCCTGTTGCTGAACCCTATCTCAAACATATTGCCCTCTCTCAGCATCTTTCAGCCCTGCTTTGTTTTCCGACTAGCATAGTCATCTCAAGGTCTTCACCTGCGAGAAGAGAACAAGAGCTGCTTAGAAGGCATACCTGTGTGTCAAAAGCATCTCGTTATGGCTGACACGCGGCTCTGCCGGGATGTCAGCTGAAACTTGGGTGAAAGCTGGAGCGCGCGACAGGCCTAAAGACGAGCTGCAAAGCCAGGGAGCCACAGCTTCTAACAGAATTCACAAACATTCCCACGCTGATGCTCTCAGCTCTCGGACGTTATTTCCCTTCAGCTTTGGCTTTGCACTCGTCAGGGCTGTAGTGGGTGCCGCGGACGGTGCCCCCGCCAGCGTTACCTAGATTTCGCCAGAAAACGGTCTCGAACATGTGATTCTCGCTCAGCTCGAGGGCCCTCACGAAGCAGTCCTGCGAGACAATAATGGAGTCATCGGTTTCCAAGTTCTCGATCCGCTGCGACTGCTCACCTCCCATTTATGCCCGCAAGCCGTAAAGTCTGACAAACCCCAACCCCACCCACCGGTCCTTCTTGTCATAAGCCCAGCCCTTCACGGTCCCGCCGCCTGCTAGATCTCCGAGGCTGTCCCAATAATTAGCATTCTTCTCATCGAGCTCCAGTGCCTTGAGAATGCACTCCTGCAGGGCAGCAGCACCCCGGTTAACGACCTCGCGCCAACGGTTGCACGTGGACTTCAAACGGCCACATGTAAACTTGAAGTGGGTTCCTCTGTTAATAAGATGTCCGATGACAGGTGGCCGAGGCCTGGGCCTGTGTTTAGCCCTATGTCCAAAGCGATGCAGCAGGGCTGTACGGGAAGAACTCATGGCTTCCGGTCCACTGCGCAGGTCTGGATTAAGGCGGAAGCACAATGAGCGAGGAGCCAATATGAGGACAAGTCACACGGCTACATCAGATGCAGGGAAAAAACCACTTGTGGGAGAAAAGCCCTGCATCCCGGAAACAAAACGGTAGAGTACAGGAGGCCACGGGAGCAAGACCAGCCAGTTGGGTCCAGCACCCCGCCGCTACTACGCCGGGTTCTCCCGGGCGCAGCTTTCGGTTTCAAGGAGCTTTGGGCGTCTTTCGGCTCGTCGGTTTCCCACTTCTGGAGCCGCCGCGACTACAAACCCTCGGCCTCCCATTTAAGCGCGAAGTCTGACAGGCCGTTTTGATGGCTAGGGATTTCGGGTCTCTGATGGGGCTTCAGGTTTCAAGGAGCTTCGGGCGTCTGGAAGGTCATTGTGGAATTTCCTACTTTGACTGCGGAAACCTGCTCAGCGGGCAATTAAGCTTGGGCCTCCCAATACACACCCGGAGGCTGCAACGTCTGACAGCAAGCACTCCCCTGCCGGTCCTTTGCGTTATAATCCCGGCCCTTAACGGTGCCACCGCCTTCATTTCCGAGATTGTTCCACGCCCCCGCATGCTTTTCATCCACCTCCAAAGCCTTCACGTAGCAGGCCTGCAGGGGCAGCCGCAGCGGTGGTAACGACTTGGCGCCCTGGCTGCACGTAGACTTCCAGCATCCATAAGTCTAACTGACACGGGGTTCTTCAAACCTCCAAGGTCGGGATCCGAGGCCCCCCAGAGTGGCTAGACTGTGCAGATTGTTTTTGCGGGAGGATTTTGCTGTTTGGGACTTCTGGGTCCGAGGACTGCGCATGCAGGATGTTTTGGGAGGATTCGTAGCTTAGGGCTTCTTTGACTCACTGGGCTGGAGTCTGGCTTTGTAATATCCTACTTTGACTGCGGAAACCTGCTCAGCGGGCAATTATAAGCTTGGGCCTGCCAAATTACGCCCGGAAGCTGCAAAGTCTGACAGGCCCAAAATCAATCACTCCCCCGCCGGTCCTTTTCATCATAAGCCTGGCCCTTCACGGTGCCACCGTCAACGACTCCGAGCCTGTTCCACGCATTCGCGAAGTTCTCGTTGAGCTCCAAGGCCTTCACGAAGCAGGCCTGCAGGGCGGCGGCAGCGGGGGTCACGACTTGGCGCCCTGGCTGCATGTAGACTTCCAGCATCCATAAGACTAAGTGACACGGGGTTCTTCAAACCTCCAAGGTCGGGATCCGAGGCCCCCCAGAGTGGCTAGACTGTGCAGATTGTTTTTGCGGGAGGATTTTGGGGTTTGGGACTTCTGGGTCCGAGGACTGCGCATGCAGGATGTTTTGGGAGGATTCGTAGCTTAGGGCTTCTTTGACTCACTGGGCTGGAGTCTGGCTTTGTAATATCCTACTTTGACTGCGGAAACCTGCTCAGCGGGCAATTATAAGCTTGGGCCTGCCAAATTACGCCCGGAAGCTGCAAAGTCTGACAGGCCCAAAATCAATCACTCCCCCGCCGGTCCTTTGCGTCATAATCCCGGCCCTTCACGGTGCCACCGCCAACGAGACCGAGGTTTCTCCACGCAACCGCATACTTCTCATCCACCTCCAAAGTCTTGCGATAGCAGGCCTGCAGGTTCAGCGGCAGCGGGGGTAACGACTTGGCACCCTGGCTGCATGTAGACTTCCAGCATCCATAAGTCAAACTGAAATGGTTTTCTTCAAACCTCCAAGATCGGGATCCGAGGCCCCCCAGAGTGGCCAGACTGTGCAGATTGTTTTTGCGGGAGGATTTTGAGGGTTTGGGACTTCCGTTGGCCTGCAGGGGTTTGGGGGCCAGGGCCAGGGATTTGGGGTCTCGTATGGGGCGTCAGGTTTCAAGGAGTTTCGGGGGTCTAGAAGGACATTGGAATAGCCTACTTTGACTGCGGAAACCTGCTCAGCGGGCAATTACAAGCTTGGACCTCCCATTTACGCCCGGAAGCTGCAACGTCTGACAGGCCCAAACTCAATCACTCCCCCGCCGGTCCTTTGCGTCATAAGCCTGGCCCTTCACGGTACCACCGCCTTCATATCCAAGGCCGTTCCACGCCCTCGCATACTTTTCATCCACCTCCAAAGCCTTCACGTAGCAGGCCTGCAGGGCAGCAGCACCGGGGGTGACGACTTGGCGCCCTGGCTGCCTGTAGACTTCCAGCACCCATATAGGTCTAACTGAAATGGGTTTCTTCAAACCTCCGAGGCCGGAGCAGCAAATGGCTGACTGTGCAGAGTGTTTTTGCGGGAGGTTTTTGGGGGTTTGGGACTTCTGGGGCCTTAGAAAGACAGCGGCCGCGAAGTTGATGAGCGGCGAGTCTTAAGGCTGGCTCAAGCGGTAACGGGAGGTTCAGAGTTTGCATGGGCTTAAAATGTTTGGGCGGTTATAGCGTTCTGGCTTTTAGGCCTTTGTAGGCTCCATGAACCCTCGGCTCCCCTTGTCCAGGAGCCCTGCACTTCCAGACACCCGCGTTCTGCAAAGCTAGAAACCCACAACTCCCTGAAGATCCACGAAGCAGTCAAAAATATAGAATGGGGGGGTGGGGGCCATCCCATGTACATGGCAAGATGTCTGGGGGTTTCAGGTGCATAGTGGGCTCGTGCTCTACGGCGGCTCCGTCCTTCTTTGAGTAGCTGAAGCCGTTGCGCTTGCCTCCGCCCTTCTTGCCCAAGTCGTACCATGCCTGGCAGCGTCAAGGGTCCAGCTAGCTGACATAATTCATTACCGTCACATAGGCTTGTCTTGTGAAAGCAGTGCTTGTTCATTAAAGCTGTCCTGTGACTGCTTCGAGATGGAAAGCATACAATGAACGCTCAGCATGGCATGTGCCTGTGCACAGAGCCGCCCGAACCGATGGGAGCGAGCGAAGGAACAAAGAAAGGCTGCGAACGACTTTACAGGGCATCAGGCCATGCCTCGAGCAGCAAATGGATGTCATTTCGGTCTTTTTTGAGAAAATTCATCCGAAGGTCTGATCGAATTCACTGCATTCCAAAGAGAAGCTCAGGCTGTCGATAACGTCTTAAGGCGAACGACGCCGAAATCCTTGCGACCCCTGGTGCTGCCGCTGCCGCGCTTTCCTTCATGTTCCTTCGAATTCCTTCCAGCACATGCAAGGTTCCCGTCTCATCCTCATCTTGCTAAGCTTGCTAGGATCTTCTTACTGAATGCCCCCTACTAGCAGCAGCGTCACCGGCCTCCTGGATGGAAGCAGCTGCCGGTTCCCTACGGTATACGGTATACTGTATACCGCAAGCTGCACTGACGTAGAGATCACCGAGTATCTGACGAAGCCCAACCGACCATCCCTGACGGGTCTGGCCTTGGCTTCTGCGATGTCTGCAGGGCTGGGCGAAGCGCTCGGCCGGACCACGGCCTTCGACGAAGAAAATGCAGGGCTTTTGGCCTAACTACGTCTCTCTCTCTCTCTCTCTCTCGCTCTCTCCGCTCTCTCTCTCTCTCTCTCTCTCTCTCTCTCTCTCTCTCTCTCTCTCTCTCTCTCTCTCTCTCTCTGTGACTCTGAAGTTGTCGAGATTCGGCCTCCAAGGCAGTGGTCTACATTGAGGTGCTTCCGAAACTGCGGACAGACTTTAATCGGCACACTCCAACAGCTAGCTAGAGCAGCTAGAGCTGGCCAAGACAACACAATCAAGAAGCATCGGGACATTCGCTCCCTCCCTTGCGCAGCCTCGGTATCTTGCTGGCTGTACCCCGCGGCGCTTGAAGCGCCAGGGCTCGCTCCCTCCGAAATGGCGGGCTTCGGGGTTCGGGTTTCCGTCTATAGGATGTGGGACTTTAGTACCAACCCTTCTTTAAATTTCCGCTGTCTCGTGCCCTGCCTTTCCATGCCCTGAAGGACGCCGCGGTCCCCCCGGTCGAAGAGTCTCCGCAATCCGGGCAGCGATGCAGTTCTCATCTTTGCCCCTGCAGTCTACGTAAACCGTGGCTGGTCCGATCGCTAGGTCGACAAGTCCCGCGCCGGCTCCCATCTGGTCGTACTGGTGATCTGGGCCGCAGGGGGGCTCCGGCGGCCAGGGGTCGTCACACATGCGAAGTGGAAGGATCTGCAAACCGTTTTCGTGGGCGACTCGAAGCTCCTCATACGAAGAGTACCGGGAGTCGGTCTTCTCAGCGTAGTTCCACGTGCAAACCGCAAGTAACACTCCCCTCTCCCTCTTGAGTTTGCCCAAATAGGCGGATGTCATCTCTCCGAAGTTTCTGCCCGCGGCCGCGTCCACCATGAGCACCGGGTAGTTCTTCTCTTTCAGAAGTTGGTAAACTCCTCGGAATAATGCCTCGGTTGGTCCGCGGTCGAACCTCGCTGAAAACATCCCGACTCGAGCGCTTGCTCCATCCGGTATCTCTTCTGCGCCGCTCACCTGGCGACAGGCTCGGTACCGACAAACCCCAAGCACTCCAACAACAACATCTAGAATCCTAGAAGTCTATGAACCATACATAAAGCCTCAAATAAAACACCTCTCAACACACGAGCACTCAACAGGCACAACAGGCCGGGCAGGCTCTGGCCATCGGGCAGTGGCGCAGGTCCTGCACTGCCGTTGCAGCTTCTGCAGCGTATGGATGTGCAGACTTTGCAAGAAAGAAAAGGGCAGGGACGAAGGGTTTGGTGCATCCGCGCATGGATCTGATGCGATCCCTCGGCCTGCACGAACTGCATACCCTAGCCTGAGGAAACAAGAAGACGCCAGAAGCGCAATGGAGCTGTCATCACGAAAGAACAGTTGAGACTGCATTATGACGCTGCTAAGACATAAGTGTATCTGCAAAGATATCTCCGGAATTGGGATCAACATACATGGAACTATATAGCCTTGCTTTCAATTGAAGCCGGATGGTCCTTCGAGGCCACGGCGGTGCCGGACAAGCCCTTCTAAGCGACACGGATCTCGGCTTTGCCGCGACCTGGGGGTTAGGGCACCTTTTTTTCGAATTTCTGCTTCGCCCAAGACTGAAATGAACGAGCTTCCTGTGCCCCGCCCCATGCGTCGGCCAACCCACGGGATTACTCCAAACACCTCAACGACCACTGAGAGCGAATTTGACCACAGGCTGTGTCAGTCGCGGCGATCATGCAAAAGATCAGTTGGGAGGCTCCGAGTTGGGAGGAGTGGTCGAATAAACCTCAACCCCACCCGTCCTCACCAAAATGGGGACCCGGAGGGTATGGGCTCTGTGCTGACTTCTTTCTCAAGCTCGAGCTCTCTGAACACCCCAGCCGCGCCCCAGCCCTGACCCTGGCTTTTAGCTTCATTTGCAAGGGAGCGCGGGTTCATTCGGTGAGAGTTTCTGAGGGCTTCTGTAGCGGGTCTAGGGTCCAGAAGTCCCTGGGAGACCCGTTTGATCTAGAGCGCAGCAATCAGGTCCCGGCCTGCCGGATGATGGAATGGCCGCACCAGAAGAGGAAAAAGCGGTGGATCAGATGGCCGAGTGACGAACCCTCTTCCTAATTACTGAACTTGACCTTTGCTGTTAGGAAGCTTTGCCGAGCCGATGAACAATGAACGGCACAAGTAGCTGTAATGGGTATGCATACAAGCTGCCCTCCTTCAGCTGCAAACTGCCGGAAGTCTCAGAGGATTCTGAGCCGCAAGGACAGCGGAACGAAGGCGACATGACCTTTGTGGCAGTTGCCCAAGGGCCCAGCATGCTCCTCGAAAGGGCGTGCTTGGCAAACCCTATCTATCGCCCTCGCAGGTTCATGCAGAAGCACACCTGATACACGGAAATCGCTGGGCAAGGAAGCCCTGATGTTTTCCGGCGTCAACCACCCCCTATCTTCATTCTGCATTCTTGGGCTCAGGGTCTCGAGGGGGGTAGTCAAGCACTTTGACAGAGACTTCTGAAACTCGGTAAGTCAACTGGAAAAATACAGAGTTGAGGGTTTACCGGGCCTAACACAGGTCGGCAAAGGTGTAAGGTCACTGGACGAGGTGCCTCGTGGAGGTGCGCAACTTCAACACCAAATCGGCTTAGATGCACCAAGGGCGACAATTTGATCATCAGGCATGCCTCTGTTTTGGGGATCGACAATGTATTTATGGCTCGGGCTTTGGGAGTTAGAGATTTCGGTGTTTGAGATCTCATGGCGTTTGCTGGCATGCACCGGGAAGCGATGCGGGTTTCGCTCCGATGCACAGCTACAGTAAGTGGAAGTTGTTACATGCTGCCCGGAGCTCTTGGGTTTAGGGTGTAGGAGTCTACCTTAACCTACCAGAACCTAATTTTTGTAGGGTCCCTATAACATTCCATATTCGGGTTCATATTCAGAACCTACAAAGAAGTGGGGTTTGGTAGGTTAAGGTAGGGTTTGGGCAGACTCATTTTTCAACATCAGCTTCGTCGACGAAACCAGCAGCGAATCCGGTCGCACGTGCGGCGAACCCTCGCGCAAAGGCCCGGCTGTCTCAAGCCAAGCGTTGTACTCTCGAACATAAAGACGGGCATCCGCCTGCCAAGGAAACCAAAAGGGCCCTATGTACTACTGATAAGAGTAGCAAGGATGCTAAGGGGTATATATTCCGCAATTACAGGCTTGCGGATTCTGGGAGGGCCACGAATTGGAAAGCTTCTTTTTGCGGCTCTTGCTCTAGTTGGCAATTCCCTGCCAGGCCAAAATCCTCACCGTAAGGCCTCAAATCACTAATGCCTCCCTGAGTGCCCACAATCGAACCCTCAGTACCCGGTAGAACTCTTATAGCATTTCAGAAACCTCGTTCCCATCCCAAGCCCAGCCCAAAACCAAAACCTTACCCTAAAGCCCTACAACCCTAAAAAACCCATGAACACCAAAAACCCATAAACCCTAACACTCGCAAACCCTACAACCCTAAACACCTAACACCCTAAAAGCCAACCCATAAACCCTAAAATCCCAAAGCAGAGCTCTGAAGTTCACGAAATGCGTTGCAAGCGGCTCGGGCGGTCTTGGAAGGCACCTTGGCTCCAAAAAGCTGATGCCAAGAGCAAACTCAGGGTTTAAGGGTTTAGGGGTTTAGGGTTTAGGATTTAGGTCTTACCTTGGGTTAGTAGGGAATGGAAGAATGGTAGTAATAGTAGCTATACTTGTACCCCATTCCTCCATTCCCTACTCGCCAAAAGTAAGTCATGAAATGATCAAAAAAGGTTTTGTGCAGCTTGGGGGTACATTATTTTTAGAGCATAGGTGGCGGCTTAATGACATGATCAGAAGAGGTGTTGGGTTATATTTTCTGAATATGACTTCACAGTCACTACAATGGGATATCATTAGAGAGCTTAATTATCAGACTAGGGTGTTAAAGCTTATTCTGGATCGAGGCTTGACAGTTTACTGCTTCGAAGTCGGGGCATAACAAGCCTTGTAACACTGATGCCGACATATACTGTTTGTTTTGAGTATGTAAGGTGAGGTTCAGCATGGGTTTGGTTACCTTTTTTTTGTGGGCGGGGGTCGTTCGACCAGCGCAATCGTGTTCCTGTGGGGTCTTTCTTGCCCAATCCGCAGGAATACTTTGGCTGAAATCAAGCCCACTCCCTGAACTCTTTGCGCGGTACGCGTGGGGTTTAGGGATTTCTTTAAGCATGCAAAGACCGATTAGGCTGACGTACGACCAAGCTGCCAGGAGAAAAGGCAAAGCAGCGCTGGCTCCATGCGTGCCACACTGCAGAAGTCCTTCTCCAACAGGGTGGCCCCATGTGCTCTTGCTCTCGATCGGTCTGGCTAGTGCGTTAATAATTTAGGATTTCGACGACAAATGCTGATTGGCCACAGTCTTAGATTCGGTTTTGGTAAGTAATTCTTCAACTCCTTTCTGCCTTTCAATGTGAGGTCGCAGGAAGATTGAGTTGAGCTTCGAAGCTTCGAACTGCCTGCCCACACCCAACCCCGGTCCTCGTAGGCTACAAGCCTCTGCCCGCCGGGGGTGTGCACCTGCAGGTAGCAAGCGCCCGTGTCATGCGCTGTAGATGAACTGCTAGAGGATGGGCGAAGTCTTGAAATCAGAAGCGCCTTTGCTGCAGCGAGCAGCCTCAGAAGCATCGACCGTGATGGGAGCTCCTGCAATCTTCCGCCATTTCAGCAGTGACTGAAGAAGCCACCCCCGCAACATGAAACAAACCATGGATGGACAAGTCAACGTTTACGCACTTCGAACACTGACATAGACTTACAACGCTTGCACAAAGCCGGAATACTTCACACTCGACTGCGACAATAAGAAATTATGTCGCTCGTCTGAACCAGTCCTGGTCATCCATGGTGATGGACTTCGTAATTTCTGCGGGAGCCTGGGTTAAGCTCCCTTCTTGGATCGAGCTGTAACTGAAGGCAGGCTTGAGGTTGAGTGCCGTTTAAGGCTTACAGGTATTCGGGTTGAGCATTTACAGCTGTAGAAGGGCTCTTCCGCGTAGATATAGATGGCAAACGCAACGACAACCAGTATCGCAATCGCTGTTTCGCAATGAATCAAATTCTGAACACTCAATTTGCACCATGCAGCAAAACATCACAATCCTCGACAATATATTCGTCATCACCACTATCGTCGCTATCACCGCTGTCATCATCATCAGCAACATCATCATGCAGCAACCACCAACTCCGAGAAACTGAAGCAAACCACCAACAACTCTAGACATTCCACAAACTCTCCGTCTCCTCCGCGTGGCATCTTCTCATCTAAATTCTCGCCCTACTGAGCTCCGAAAGCGCAGGATTCCCTGCACCGAAGCATGCGCCCCGGAGGTCGAACACCCGGAGCACCTGGCCACCTCCAAGGTCCCGGCGCTGGCCCTGACCTTCTCACGCCCCACGACGATGACCGAGCTGGGTCTCATGGGCCTGGGTTCAAGCTCGCTTGTTCAGCTTTTGCGACACGACTTTCTACGGGCTCAAGGCTGAGGGTTGCGGTTCAAAAGTTTAAGGTTCAAGGTGCAGGGATTGGGTTCAGGATTTCGGGTTTAAGCACTGGTATTGTTGTTGCAGTTCTTCTTGTGGTCACGACTGTTGTCATTGGAATCACCGCAAGTCGTCGCGAGCTCGCTATCGCCCTCCCCTCCACCTCCACCTCCACCTCAACTTCACATCACAACCCCACACCTCAAGCTGCACAACCCTCAGCACTAAACCCTGAACCCCAAAGTCTTACAACCCTTAAATGAACTCTAAAAGCCTAAACCCCAAAACCCGAAACCCTAAACTCCGCAGCCCCAAAGCCCCGTAAAGCCCTAAGAAGTGAAAGGTCGTCCGAGGCGCGGCGTCATGGGGAAGGGCAGGTCGGTCTCGGAGCTTCTGCCAGGGAGAGACACTTTGAGAATGAACGACAAGGACTACTGTAGTATATTTGTACATCATAGGTGTGTAGACATATACATATATATAAGTATATGTAAACAATCACAGAAAATACGAATGACAGACAAGGTCAACTTTATAGTTCTACATCATAGGTATGTGCATATATGCACGCACGTACACACATACATACATATACATACATACATATGCACAAACTTGACATATACGGACACAT